CGTCGCTTGCTTATTAGATTTCTACAACGTGTGGCGTGTTTACTTCTACCAAGACGGTAGATGTCTATTTCGAAGAGACAGGACAGAATGGCCTTTCAACAAATCGGACAATTTCAAGCCACTTGGCGGTGCACGACCAAAATGGTTGCTGGCAGCCTGAGCTGAAAAGAACACAGGTTCTAGGCAAGCTCAAAAACACAACCGAAAAAATGAATTTTCGAGGCTTTAGCATCAGGCTTGCCGGTGAGGGAAAATGGAATAACTCACTGTCATTTTATCTTACAAAAAAAAACATATATTAGTATATTTTGTTTTCACATTGAGTAAACTTTAAACATGTTTCTGCGTGCTTCTACATTAAAGTTCATTTGATAGTCGGACTTCGTTTTTCTCACCTCTCCTGTTCCGGTTCCTGGCGCTTTTTTTTAATCCGAAAGCATTAACTGGGGGGTCGCATGGAATGAACCGGTGTTATCAGCATTTGGAGCCGCGCCAAACGGAAGCTAAATTCACCTGTCCCATGGAGCGAAAGCTGTAGTTTGTAACTGCCACCCCATTTACTGGCACCCGCCGTAGTTCCAAGAAACGCCGCCCCACAGATAAGTCCTCTCCATGGCGGCGCAGAGGTCTGGCCGCCGGTAAAATTGAACGGCTGGCCGCAGAGCCAGCAGAGCCCGCCTGGGCAGCTTCCGAAGAGGCAGCACGGCCGAGCTCAGCGCGGCGCGCAGTACCTAGGAATACGCTACGTACACGAATGCTTTGGCATTCCGACACGTTGGAAGTCTTGTGTCTACTTTCTAATAGTTATTAGCATCATTTTGTTGTTTATGAAATATACAAGCATGGCTGTTGGTTTCGCTCACTGCAGAACTCAGAGTACGACTAGGGAGGTATTTGTAAAATACAAAATCACGCTTACGACTTTTTTTCTTTCTTTTGAGTCGCCTCGGCGACAGTTGCCGGGACCATTTTTGACCTGCGACGAATTAACTTCACCATTTGCCTCTCCTTGTTAGTCTGAATAAAGACGAGGTCGTTTATAAATCAAGTGCTAGCAGATGTGTCTTTTTGTGTTCCTGATAACTATAGCCGCCGCAGTCCATCACAGCGCGAAAAACGTTGATCGATTTCAAAAACACTGCCTCCACGCCCATCGAAGGGAATGGTGAGAAAGTTCACTAAAGGGATCATGAAATGACCTCTTTACTTTTGCCAGATAACTTTTACTTTAAACCTTCAACGTTCACTGAATGCCGAACAGGCATCTGTTTTCGTCTCAGTTCATTAACTTCTATACAAAAAATTAATAAAATGTCAGCTTCTTCTTTCTTTCCAACTGACCGCAAAACAAGTTGCAGCGTAATTTTGACGGTCGTGACGTACCCTTGCACAGGAACCGGAAGTTCTCTCGGCAGTAAGAGAATGGGAGTGTTAGTGGCGGCGACTGGCGAGTTGGGCGTGCGCCGGTAGGTTTTACTGCGCTGATGTCACCGACGTATTTTCTGAATCGGTGCCTTTCATTGCCGCGATAGTTATGGACACATCGCAGTTGAGCGAAACTCAATGAGATATGTTGCGCTACAGCGACAGCATGGGACTAGTGTCATACGCCGGTATGCCTGTTGGGAAGTGCGGCGAGTCTTCCGGGGAAGATTCCAGAGGTGAACCCAACTGTCATTGTCGGTAAAAGGCGGCCCGTGCCAGTCGTTTGCAAAGCGACGTAGATGGAAACAAATTGCCGCGGCGGTTTTTGCGGCACCGGAGATGCGGGAGCCAGCCGACTTCAAGAACGATACGTTTGAATGACGACTGTCAGCAAGAGCCACGTAAATACCTGTTCACACTCGAAGCGGACGCGCGCGTTTGATGGAGGTGCTGTATTCGCGGTGTTGTAAGCGCTTCGGGACCCATCTTTTACGATTGCAACTCCGTGACACTCGGCAAAGGAAGGTTGGACCAGCAGCACGTAGCTCCCACGAAGTGTTTTAGCTCGACAATGGCGTGCAGTCGTGTCAGAATAAAAATGGCATACTAATTACGAAGTGTACATACCGTGCTAAGAAGGTGGTCTATACGGCGTTTATTCGAGCTCTATAACACAGAAAACAGGAAGATAGAATCGACGAGAGTCCATTTTCGACGACAGTGTTCGTCAACAATGCTTCGGAAAACAAGGAGATGACAAGGGGAAGAGATTGGTCTCACCTCTTAATCTAAAATTGAGGTCAACGATCAAACTATAATATGGGAAGGGTCCGCAAGGGGTCGCGCGGGCATACTCCTTCAGCACGCGAGCCGGTCTTGGGCAGACGGTCTTGGCCAAGTACCGTCAAAGCAACGCTGCGCCGAGTCGGAGTGCCTGCTAGGCCTATCTTCTGCCCGCTCGATTGTTCGGGGTCGGTGGATTCGTAGCCGTTGCCGCTTTTCTCGGGTGTTTGTGGATCCAGCGTTCTCGTTCGTCGTGGTCTGTTTTGAGTACATTTTTCTTGCTGCTTGAAGTCGAGACGCGCGAGAAGAACACGTCGAAAAAAAAACGTTCCTTGGTCACCGCCTCGTCGCGCCCAACGACGCGTCGGCTCTTTCGCGCAGGCGCAGTAGGGTATTTTTATTTCCTCGTTTATCACACGATAGATGGCGCTTTGCTCTCAGTAGGATCGAATTCGGCAATTTTTGTCACATCTCTAATTATGATACAACGCTTTTAGAAAACATTTGCGGTTATTTATTGTTTATGATCGCGGTGCTGGTAAGGTAGGCTCTCAGGCAATAGGCGACGTGGATTCGGCTGACCTGCTGCGATTCCGCGGATGCATCGCAGTGAGCAGGCAGGGAGCTTTTGAAGGCAAAAAGGCGCAAAAGAGTCCAGTTTTCTTTTAAAAGTTATATAGCGAAGAATCTTTTTTGGCTCCCTATTTTTGTGTTTCTTGTGTTTCTTTTCACATCTTTTACGACGTGCGGTGGATGATTTCAGAATCGTTTCATGGTCCCTTTAGTATGGCGTCTGGCGAGATTTGGACATGGAAGTACGTCACGTAATTGGCGCGTCGGTGCGCCACTCCGCGAGTATTTTCGTATGACGCAGCGAATGCGATTCGGGCAGATAACAGGCTAAGAATTTGGAAATAGTGATTACGTTACATCGGAGCTAAGCCATTTCATAAAGGTTAATTTATCACAACATAGTGTACGCAGTTTTGATGAGTCTCCTCTGCAGCATTACATAGTCTCTAAGTTATGTTTAATACACAGAGTCTACAAAATGTTCAAAAACAAGACTGGAGTACGGCGTGACCACTTGCGCGAAGTGAGTCACAGTGTCTTTCAATCTTTAAGAGCGCAGCTCTTAGGCGCCCGTGTCCGGCCTGAGCGGTGTCGCAGTCGCCGCCGGCGTCGGCGTCGCCATCGGCGTCGGCGTAACCGCGCGGTACATTATGGGTAAATTTCCCCGCTAAATGTAGCGGAAAAATTTTCACGATAAATCTAGTGGAAAAATTTCCCCGCTAAATCTAGCGGGAAAATTTCCCTGCTAAATCTAGCGGGAAAATTTCCTTGCTAAATTTAGCGGAAACTTTCCCCTAAATGGGAGGCGAGCAGGTGAGGAGGAGGGGCATAGCTTCCTCTCTGTACCTTCCCCTCCCCCTCCTCAAGAGGTGCGCTCTATTTCGGCGTTACAGGGAGTTGTAAACGGATTTGATTTTTGTTTTTTATAGACATCTAGATAGTTCTGCAGATAAAGAAATATATGCAGTCACCAGAATGCGGAACGTGCAGTCCCATGAACTTTGCACGTGTGTCCAGTTTAAATTTGATTGACAGAAGTAATATTAGCTGCGCCATGAATTTTCCTCGTGAGGAATTCCCAATATGGACACCGGCACTGTATGGTGGCAATATGGCGCCTGCGAACGCGTCTTCGAAAGGTGTGCTTAGCGTTCTACCTGTCCCGCTCATATATCAAACGAAGTCCCGAAATGTCAACAAAGGACATCACAGGAGACAGTGCGTCATGTCGGAAGTCCGATCATGGCGGCTGGTTTTAGAATTCGCAGCAAAAAATTCAAGAGATTGGAAGTGTCGCTCTCGTCGCGGCATTGCAACTCGTGGCTGCCGAAAGTTTCGTTAACTTTGAAGCTAGTGGACAATTTCTGCGTTAGAACAGGCGTCCGCAACATCCACCACCGCTCTTCTGGAACACCCAGAATCACGGCCTCCTGCAACACGACGTTTCTTTAACAGGTGAAAATCGAGGGACAACTTTTAAGGACGGGGTAAATACACCAGTTGGACACGCCTTCCAGTATCCACACTTAACGTATTATCGCGATATTTCGCGATCGAGAGCGCATTGAATAAGTCTGGTATGACCATCTCTCATCCTCATTATATATGCGAATTTTGCATCTCTTAGTTTAACCGTACCCTTGTGAGCGTGTGCGCGCGGCGTTGCTTGCTGAAGATACTCTGTCGATAAAACTACGTTGGTCGACCGTTGAAGGGATGTGAAAATGTTGGCAAAGTGCACCGCGCTTGCTAACATTCATTGTTCCGCTCATGTTTGCGAACTTAAAGGTCGCATTGAGCAGCTGTCTGAAAGAAAACATAACTTAGGAGCTCAAATATAAAAAAAAGACCAATAGACCGCGAAGTGTGTTTGCACAATATACGTTAGTTTAATCCTGTGTGCGTGGCTGCTGCGTCGTTCGTTGGCTCAATAAAAAGTGTACTGCGCATGCTATCATTTGTCCTTGTGCCTCATGTTCGCGAACCCAAAGGTTACAGTGAACAGTTGTGCGAAATAAATAAAAAAAATGATATATCCAGAGGGCATGATAAATGAAACTATAGCAAAGAAATAAAAGCCCCCATCGGGAGCGGGGTATAAACACTTATTTCGTGCACTACATTTCTCCAGAGGAACTGTAGTTATCTGGTTTGGGGAGATTTGTATAATAGTTTTTTTTTATTCCAACGTTGCATGACCGGTTTCCAGTAAAAAAATGATGCTTCGTGTCAAGAGCCTTTTAATTATGCTTACCTTTACTCATGGCATTTCAGGTGAGCCAGCTTTTTGACCTTAAGGGACAGATACCAGGGATTGTTGGTATGGGTTCATTTGGAAACAGCGCGAATGTTACACGTACGGAGGTAAGAAGTAGATGATACAAGGCCTGACTAAAAAAGTAAGGATTATCCTAAATAAACAGCGAAAAAAAAAAGCCAGAAAAGCATGACTCTCTATTCTAACAGAATGGCGATTACGCATCACTAAATTGGGGTCTATCGGTCATGTAATTTTATGAGCACTTTCACCCTATCTAAAAATTATATCGTACTGTCAAACAAGGCCAAGCAAGCCTGACGCACGCAGGTTGGGCTTTACATTCTTATTCTGTGAGCCCCCACAATCTCTCGAGCCTCTTGGTTCCTATGGTGACACAACACGCTTGCACATTCTAGGGATGGTGCTGATGCGCAGTCACGGTAGTGCATTGCCAAATGTGAGCATGCGGTTTCGGTTAACTAACTACGGTGCTGCCGGAGTAGAATTCTGAGGCATCTCCCCGATTTCCCGATGTACACCTTCCCGTACGAGTTTACTGTATAGTTATTATCAGCGCGGGTGCTTTCATCTCAATTTGGACAAGAGTTTGAGTCAAGATATTATTGTAAGAAAACAATATATTTTGAGAGCGTACTTCAAATACGAAAGAATCCAATGGCAAGCTTGCGGGTTTCTTGTTTATTTTCAAAATATGAATTATTAAAGCGGCCGAAGCGAAATCTTTCGTTTTTACCCCCTATCGTGGAGTGCATGTTTGATCGCCCGTCATTGTGACTCTCCTTAAACTACTGCACCAGGACCAGTGGTGCGTACGCATCACAGAAATTAAGTAAAGAAATAGCGTTACTCGTTAGTTCACGACATATGAACGCGTTATAGTGATTCGTTACCGTCCGGCGAATGCAACGAAATGCCGTTATTGCTAATGTCAAGAGCTGTCTTACGTTTCTATTTGCAATGGGCAGTGTTAATTTTTACGTTACCTGCCGTGTTCCCAGACACTTCACTTTTTTTACGCTCATTCGATTTGAAATGTGTTGCCAACGTCTCGCTTTCAGACTCCGTTCAATAGAAGCGCATTGTCTAGCCTGAACACATTCAGTGACAATTCAGTTTTGCTTAAAATGTCAAGATGCCACACGGCAACCCTTTAGCATGCGTACTTTCCGTGCATTTCTTGCACTTGTCAATTGTGTGTTATCTCGTCCTTTGATCTTCCATGTTTGTTTGCTTGGTTTTTACTTTTTTTTTATTAAGTGCACCAATGTGAAAACCACTGTGGTTTTTTTGAACACTTTAAATAAAAAATTATACATTTTATTTTTTTCTTTAGACATCTACAGGGATGATTTCATCCTGTCGTCCGTATATTAGTTTCTCATATATCTCGAGTAAAAAAAATGGCCTACGTTACACCTCCCTGTAACGTCGGATAAAGAGCGCAGCTCTTGAGGAGGAGGATGGAAGGGTACTGAGGGATAGGTGACTCCCTGAGGTCACGTGACCTCAGGGGGGAGTCACGTGACCTCAGGGGGGTCACGTGACCTCAGGGGTTACGTGCCCTCAAGGGGGGCACGTAACCTGAGGGGTGTCACTGGACCTAAGGGGGGTCACGTTACATCAGGGTTCACGTGACATCAGAGGGTCAGTGAAACCAGGGGGTAACGTGACCTCTGGAGGTAACCCTTATGACCCTCGTGAGCGTAACCCTCGTGACCCTCGTGAGGGTAACCCGCGTGAGGGTAGCCCTCATGACCCTCGTGAAGGTAACCATCATGAGGGTAACTCTCGTGACCCTTGTGAGGGTAACCCTAGGAACCCTTGTGAGGGTAAAACTCGTGACCCTCGTGAGGGTAACTCTCATAACCCTCGTGACCCTCGTGAGTGTAACCCTCGTGACCCACGTGAGGATAACCCTTTTTATGGTAACTAATCCTCTTAACCCTCCTGAGGGTTACGAGCGTAACAAGGGTTACTAACCCTCATTATCCTCATGAGGGTAACCCTCGTGAGAGTAACCCTCACAAGTGTTACGATGGTTACGCCGACGGCGACGCTGCTCAAGCCGGAAAACGGGCGCGTAAGAGCTGCGCTCTAATATATTTAATGATTTTAAATGTATGGACTTTCTCAATTTTTTTCGCGAATGATCCAGTGACCTTCATGCGCGACCGTAGGGCTGATTTCACAAAGACGCCACTGAGCTGCAAGAGATTGGCTCCTGTTCTGAACAAAAATGTCTTTCTTGAGAGTCCATACAGCGTGGTATTATACTCCTCTCTCCCAGACAGTTCAAAAGCCTTTAGAGTGAATTCTCTTAAGTATAAGCGAGCCGGCGAAATTCGATGTGCAGGCTCACAGACAAGGTCGCGAGATGATTTGCCAGTTTGTTTTAATGAGTTTGTTCTTAATGACTTTTCAAGGTATATGGAAACGAAATAACTCAACAACAAGCTCTTTACCTCTCGCTTCAAGGTCGGTCAGCGAGAAGACCAATGAACATAGCGCTCGTGACGTCAAGAGTTCCTGCACGGCCAAGGGTGGTGTAGCTGGGAGCGTTGCCGCTTGATGTTGTCAGCGCATGACAATCTCACCTGTAGCAACAATCTAGGACAGTGGGCCTATGGCCTCTCTATACCTTGCTCGTAAGGTCATTCGCGGCAATGTCGGCAATGTCGGACATCTCTCCCGTTGAGGCAGACTAAGTTTTAGGCTGTATAAACGTCCACATAACCCAATTTATTTTCAAGCGGCTGTATGCTGTGCCGGTGAAAGTTCAAAAAGCCAAGCCGATTGTAATTAATGGGTGCAGAAGATACGCATGTATAGATAATACAACTCAATTTCTTTTAATAATAATGTGAGGGTCAGTCCTAAGAGGTTAGCGCCAGCAAGTCATATAAGAGCGGCTTACAAAGGCTGAGGTTGGCGCCTTGCAGTACCCTCTCCACAAGTTTCTAGAATTTCGTCGGTCCCCTCGCCACTCAAAGGGCATCCTGGAAAATTCGAAAGTTCCTTCATATCAAATAACTGTGGTCTTCGTTGCGTGTTCTTCGACAACGAGAGTCTGGAAGAATTATTGTGACAAATCGGAGCTTGAGAACCGTTGCTCACTTCTAAGCTTCGCCAGGAGCCAATCAGTGCTCGGCGTCAGATTGACCTCGACCTCGGTGTTGGGGTTCAAGGGTCGGTAGTCCACAAGGAGCAGTTATCCACCTGGGTTCTTTGCCACGACCACTGTCATGCTAGATCATAAGTCCGGGATGTTAGTCCTTGTTCTTGGAAGCACTGGATACAGCTTTCTACCACTTTTTGTTTTCGGGTGTTAACCGAGCGCAACCTGCAACGGGCTGGCCTCTCGTCGCCGGTGTCCATCAAGTGCTTTGTCAGTGATCAACAAACACCCCTGCTTTTAGAGCGCAGCTCTTAGGCGCCCGTTTCCGACTTGAGCGGACTCGGCGTTGCCGTCGGCGTAACCGCAAGGTCACGTGACCCTCCCCAAGGTCACGTGACCCCCTAGGCCACGTGACCCCCAGGCCACGTGACATCCCTCTGAGGTCACGTGGCCCCCGGGTTACGTGGCCCCCAGTTCACGTGACCCCCCAGTTCACGTGGCCCCCAGGTCACGTAACTCCCCGGTGTCACGTGACCCCCGCCTGTCACGTGATCCCCTAGGCCACGTGACCCCCCGAGGTCACGTGACCCCCAGGCCACGTGACCTCCCTCTGAGGTCACGTAACCCCCAGGTCACGTGACCCCCCGAGGTCACGCGACTCCCTCAGGTCACGTGACCCCCCAAGGTCACGTGACCCCCGGCCACATGAACTCCCTCCGAGGTCACGTAACCCCCCAGGTCACGTGGCCCCCCAGGTCACGTAACGCCCCTGGTCACGTAAGCCCCCCCTCCGCGCCTTCCCCCCTCCTCGAGAGCTGCGCTCTAATTCGGCTTTACAGGGAGTTGTAAACGGCTTTCATTTTTTACTTACTCTCATCTTAAAACGTCCATTCTGATCATCATAGGCATAAACCTCTCAAATGCATACATTGTCAAACAAGTTTTAACGTCGCAGCAGGCCTATACGTTAGGGGTTCTACCCTTTTTGCTGTGTCGTGGCTTCAACGATTATCATTGGAGAGGAGTAATCGCTTTTACAGGGATCGATTATCCCCAAGCTCAGCATACGCTAAACTTCTTTCCAGATAGTCCGCTGCCTAGGCGACATGAGATAAGGACGAGAACGCACCGCGACGTTTGACGTGAGTTCTATATTGTCCGTGGCCAGGGAGGCTCGGCCACGGGACACAGAGAGAAATGTCTAGTATTTTAAAGAAGCTCTCTTGAATCGGGCAAGCTGTGATACAGAGAGGTCCTCGAAATAAACTGTCTGCGCCATTACTTCCTCCACCCCGAACGGCGTTGCGGCCTTCCATGGCAGCGGAATAACTGTCTGCCCTTCCTCCGGTACGTCTAAAGGGAGGTTCACCACCTCGGTTTGGCTCATGTAGCGCTTCATCAAATTGCAGAGGTAGATTGGAATATCCATTCTTTTGCCTCTTTTTTTAATTGCGTAGTTTGTTTACGACTGTTACTGAGCGACCCTGAAGGGCTCTTCCCACTGTACCTGCAACTTGCTTTAGCGCGAGGGGCGAAGCAGCAAAACTTGGTCGCCCTCGTTGTACTCTCAGAGACGGGCGTTTCGATCGTAATAACGCTTGAACCTAATCTGGGCCTCACGCATGTTAAGCTCCGCGATTTGCTTCAAGCTCCGGAATCTCTCCAGCAGATTAAGGATATACTCCACTACGCCCGGATCCGAGCCTTGGGTTTCCCACGTTTGCGGAGCAGCCACAACGGCGACCGCAGACAACACCCATACGCTAGTTCGGCAGGACTGAAACCTCTTGCATCATGCGTAACTGAGCGAAGCGTGAATAACATCGCTGGAAGGTAGGTGTCCCACTCGCTTTTACTCTCCTAAGTCAACTCTCTCAA